CGGCTGTTGCAGCAGCATGAAGCGTGTCGATCTTGGTTTGTTGCAACATTCGGGCGCGCCTCACTTCAGTTCTTGTGTGTGCGAAACTGATGTTTCAGCTTTCTAAATTTGTCGGAGCGCATAGAGTTTGTCTTGGATTTTGATTTGAAATCTTAGGAGAAACTCCTGAAAACACATGACGGGAGGAACTTGTGTTGCATATCTTTCAGGATTTTATATTACATTAATTACGCTGAAATGCTGTTTATGCTCTATTACAGTCGTTCATTGCCTGCTTTCTAACTTACGTACGTGTACTACAAATGGGCACTTGTTGGATTAAGAAGGGGGAAAAAGTCTCTATAATTACACAAGTGATCTCAGACCGACAGACCCTGAATTCTATATCATTTCCTTTTTCGTGTTTTAGGTTCTCTTCTCCCCCAGGAGCTTCTTTGGAGTGGAAGATTTCCTGGACGATGATAACAGCCGACCCTACACATACCAAAAGGGGAAGAAATCCAAAAACCCACAAAAGCACATCTCGTTCAAGCAACGTACCATAGCATTCATGGAGCCCTTTTCGCTCGATGTGTTCATATCTAAGCGCTTCGTCTCTGCATCTCTCACCCATAGAGTTACGTGCAAGCAAGTGGCAGTGGCCGGAACAAACTCCAAAGACGTTAAGGCAGCTCTTCAATCGAGGTCGGATATACCTGCGTGTTTAGCTGTTGGAAGAATCTTGGCTGAGAGAGCAAGAGAGGCCGATGTCTACACTGCAACTTACACTCCGAGGGAGAGGGACAGGTTTGAAGGGAAGATCAGGGCGGTTGTTCAGTCTCTTATAGATAATGGTATCGATGTTAAAGTTTATCTCAATTGATAACGCCTCGTTCTGTAATGCGCGGTACTAATTAGAAATAGTTCTTCCAGTTTACTGGAGAACTATGATAATAGTGTCCAGTTTTTCAATCAGGAGGAATTTGTGTCTGATGTGGGTGATATCTTGTGTACAAAAAAAACCATTGTATTGCTATGGAAAACTGGAAGCTCGGCTGTACCTTGTGGGGTTATCTCTGTATTGCTTGCAAGGGTACACAGAGATTAGATTGCAGAATTGTTGCCATGCCTGAGATTTTCTTGTTGTTGTTGTTGTTGTTGTTGTTGTTATTTTGGTGGGTACCTTGCTTATGTTGCTTGTTGGTATACAGGTTTAATGTGTTGGCTAGGTGCATTGAGATGAACATGAATTCATTTTCTACATAAGTTGTATCGTCAGCCAATTTGTTTTGTTTTGTTTTGTTGATGAATCAGTTGGAACCATTGTCTTCTTCATCTCTGGAATGTCATCAACTACAGGGAAGAAGAGCACAAGCTGACATTCAATTGTAAGTGCGTTTATTTACCTGTGGCGTTTATTTTCATCTTGTTTGGGCCCCTTTCGCTGAACGAGAGCCATCTGATGCAATCGAGATCGCAAGAGGAATCGAACAAATGGGTTATCGGGTTAGCGAGCAATGTTTAGACCCTGTCCAAGGTTCCAGATCCTAAAAGGCAGCACTCTGGTTTCTCCGAAACCGTCAATTTTATTTATTTATTTATTTGTTTGTTGTGTGCTAAATAGTTTTTGTTGTTTTGTTGGGGTTTTGTTAGAAAGAAAGTTGATGGGTATGGTTGAGTTGGAGCCCAATGGAAGAATACTCGCCACATGAAAGCGTGCCAAATATCTCCTCCAACCAATGGACTTCATCCTTCCCATATCCTTCTCTCTCCCCTCCTCTCTCTTCCCATTTTCTCAACACAATAAAAAGTTTTATCATTATTACACATAAAAAAAAAAGAAAGGGGGAAAGAAACTTTAAAAACTAAATTTAGCACTTGATAACAGTCCCCCCCGTCCTCCTCCTCCTCCTTTTGCTGCAATAGTTGAGGTGAGGCCATGCCCATGTCTAAATATTACCAAATCCTACGTTGGTTTGTGTTATTAGATTGCAGTTTTAGGAATCATGAGGAGCATTGAAATTGTTCAATTTGGTTTGTTCTGTTCCCAGGTGAATCGATAGATTTTCTGTTTGAATTATTGTCGTGATTATCTATGTTGTGTTTTATGATCAACACTGCTTGGAACAAAAATGTTTTTTTTTTTTTAAATTTACCCATAGAGTATATACTGAGCTCTTATTGAAATTGCTTCAGTGATGAGTCTTCCATTGATTTCTTAAATCACCTGGGTACACCATTTCCTGCATAGAATTTGTTATCTGATTCCCTTGATACCCCAACTTCCTTGCTTGCTAGTTTTTATGTGAGTGGTATGTATATCTTGAACTTCTCTCTAAAACTTATTACCTCGAGACCAGTTTGATGAGCTCTCGAGCCTCTCCTTCAAGCATACCCTTTCCTTTTTAAACGGTGTGCCACTGTGCCCCCTTATATCAAAGATTTTTAAAGTTCAAATGACTTAACCAAGTTTACGATTACGCGCAGACGCGAGCAGAACCGCATGATGGCCACAGCTGCGGTTATTGGACTAAATGCAGGAAAGAGGATTCTTAGCTCTACATTCTATTCTTCTGAATTCACTTTCATCGATCATGGGTCTCCACAATTTTCAGCTCCAACATCCAAGAGCATCATAATTGCTAGAAGATCTTCACATCCGAATACCAGTGTTCCCTCAGAGAGGCACTCAGTATCCATCAAGGCAGTAAAAGAACATACAGATACTATTTCTCCTATAGCTACCGATGACTGGTCAGACCTCATTGAAGAAGAAGAAGATGGTGATTCTGATATTAAATCTTCGCTCGAGGTTTTCCTTCTGTTGCAGAAATCTATGCTGGAAAAACAATGGAAGCTTTCTTTCAATCAGATGAGTACTGCAACTGCTCCTGGTGAAACATGCAGGAAAACTGAAGTTATTCGATCAGGGATTTCTGCCAGGAAAAGGAGAACAAGTACCAGAACAAAATCCATTAACCAGAGTTCATATGTGGGAATAATGGAGGAAGGAAAACAGCTTCGAGCAGCTGTAAGTCCTGAATTGCTGCAGGCTAAGTTAACAGGTTATGTTAGGGGGACAGTTAGTGAAGATTTGCTAACTCATTCTGAAGTTGTTCATCTCTCAAAGAAGATCAAAGCTGGTCTTTCATTGGAGGATCATAGAGCAAAGTAAGTAGTAATTGAATGTGATTCCAATTGATGACATTGCTCACTGTGTTTGTGCTACTCGTCTAGTCAACTGTTCAAAGAATATGTCGGTGTTAGAAAATTTCTTAGTGATTGTCAAGCTGCTACCTAATGCTCTTATCAGTGTAGGATTTTCTATTTAGGGTAAAGTTAGGATAGGCTAGGTAGTATGTTGTGAACATACCATGGTTCAAGACAATCAAAGTCTCGAGACAATACTATTCATATGCAACATAATATATTATATTTCTACTGTTGGGGCAACATGTTAACACTCTGTTTATTGAAGTCCTTTTGTTATTATGACATAAATAGTTTTGATTGATTGAGTTGAATGCTGCAGAATGAAGGGAAAATTGGGTTTTGAACCCTCTGACAAGCAGCTGGCATCATCACTGAGGATGTCACATTCTGAACTGCGTTCAAAGTTAACTGAATGTTCATTAGCAAGAGAGAAGCTAGCAATGAGCAATATTCGACTTGTTATGTCCATTGCCCAAAAATATGACAACTTGGGTGCTGAGATGGCTGATAATGAGCAATATTCGACTTGTTATGTCCATTGCCCAAAAATATGACAACTTGGGTGCTGAGATGGCTGATCTTATTCAGGTAATTGAATTTTCCTTCAGTTGCCCAAAAATATGACAACTTGGGTGCTGAGATGGCTGATCTTATTCAGGTAATTGAATTTTCCTTCAGCGTTTCCTTTTGTTGTAGTTCTTAGTGTTCTGTTTGGACTAAACCTGCTAGAAATTCTTTCAGGTGACAAATTTTTTTTATGTCTTTTGTGATGCAGGGTGGTTTAATCGGATTAGTACGTGGGATAGAGAAATTTGATTCTTCCAAAGGCTTTAGGATTTCAACTTATGTGTATTGGTGGATTCGTCAGGTGTGTTTAAGCACTATTTCTGTATCATTTATCATATAAAGATAGGCTCATTTGATATTTTGTATTAAACTTGCTCTGGTACTTCTTTTCTTTTTTGTCAAGGAATTAGTTTAAATTAGATCAGAATAGCTTGCGTGGGATTTATCTTTATTTTGCATCAGTTTAGCACTATAGGCTATAAAATTATGTTCATTGGACTGGCATAGGTTTTTTTTTTTTTTTTTTGACTATTCATGGAATCATCATCATATTAAGTGTGCTAGCAATTGAATGGTGTCTTCCTTTTGACAGGGCGTCTCACGAACATTGGCTGAGAATTCAAGAACCTTAAGGCTACCCTTGCATTTGCATGAGAGGTTGAGCTCAATTCGAAATGCAAAGATTAGATTGGAAGAAAGAGGGATTACACCATCAGTAGATGTAAGTCGAATATTTCTCTTTGTGCTTTTCTTTCATGCCTTCCACTATGGCAAATCATGGCTTGTCTTAGTTTTTTCATTTTAATTTTTCATGAATTTGTGGGTTACATCATCCAATTCATTCTGTTCTTACTCTCAATATTTGATCTTTTATGTCACACTTCACTACCAATCGCAAATATAGATTTGACAATGTCTTTTGCTTCCTTCTCTTTGGAGTTAGTTTTTATGGGTTTAAACTCGAGATATTTTTTGCTTTTTCTTTGTGCATGATTTATTTTCTTTCTGTCTCTACAGAAACTTGCCAAGTGTCTGAAAATATCTGAGAAGAAAGTGAGAAACGCTACAGAGGTACTAATCCACCATTCTTTCTGGCATGTCACTGTTGTTTTCTGTATATGAATGCAACTGACATTCGTTTCCTTCTAAACATGGGACGTTTAAAATTTCAGGCAGTTAGTAAGGTACTTTCCCTTGACAGGGAAGCCTTCCCCTCTCTCAATGGACTTCCCAGCGAGACCCTTCACAGTGTAAGTTTAGCTAAATTACTTAGTCAAGCCTCGGTATAAAAGTTTTTATCTTTTTTCATCTCCTAATTCAATATGTTTCTGTTTATTTTAGTACATTGCAGATAATAACGTTGAGAACATCCCTTGGCATGGATTCGAAGAATGGTCTCTCAAGGTACTCAAAATAAGTGTGCTAGTGATTAATGAGAGAAATATTTGTATTCCATGTTCTACTCATTCTTTACAATCCGTCTTTTACATCCTTAAAAAGAGGACCTGCTGTCTGAGATTCTCTCTATTTTTCATCTCAGGATGAAGTGAACAAGCTTCTGTGTGCAACACTTGGTGAACGGGAAAGAGAGATTATAAGGCTCTATTATGGTATAGACAATGAGTGTCATACATGGGAGGATATAAGTAGACAGTAAGTTTCCTTAAATTCAATTTGTAGGAGGCAGAAATATCAACTTTATACTCCTGGAGATGTTAAAATAGCTATCATATTACTTATATGAAAACATGTTTTTAAGAAAAAGGGAGTCAAAACTCAATTGCATACTGTCATGTTGTCCCTTACAAATTTCAACATTTTATATATTTCCTGAGATTGTTTATTATTCTTATTCTTATTATTATTTAATTTTTTGCAGGTTCGGTCTTTCCAGAGAACGAGTTAGACAAGTGGGGCTTGTAGCCTTGGAGAAGCTTAAGCACGCAGCACGCAAGAGGAAATTAGAAGCAATGCTGGTGAAACATTGAGATGGAGGTGTAGGAGAGTGTCATAAATTTTATGACTATATACCCATCAAAATCATGTGATGACTGTATATATAAAGAAAAGGAATAGGAAATGTGTAAAGTTCATAGTTAATTGCCAGGATAAAATGATATACATGTACATGTATTGAACTGAGAGAACTTTACCATTAATTGGATCCTTAATGAGATGAGAAATTTTGATTGTATCAAATTTTCAAGTACTAATAAAAACATATGTTTAATATCGTTTGTATTTCTACTTGATAACTGATTGAAAATGTGTTCTTATGTGAATATTTTGCTTATGATATATACATGGACAGTTCTTCCTCCATGGGGTAATATGCAGAACTCTTATAAACATGCATGTGAATCAATTATGTCACTTGTTAGTTGTGAAGGTATGTGGGAGCACATTCCTTAATTTCTTCACGAGGTGTTAATTCAATTATAATGATCTCTAATTTAATAACTCCATTGAATTAGTCTTAAATGTTGAATGGTATTATCATGTCCTGCAGAAGATATAACTACCTTTTTGTTCGCGATGAAGCCTCATGGTGTCTTCTCGTTATATACCCTGATTTCCCATCTTTCCACTGCTCAAAACCACACAATTACATGAACATGCACATAAATACATATTTTGCACACAAATACACACGCACTGATATTTGTACATAGCCCTATCATCATGGAGACAGCTGAGAGGTGAGGAGAGAGGAAATTTCACTTTAAATTGAGTATCATACCATCAAGAAACAGAACACATTAGAACTAATAGGAAATGCTTCTCAAAACAAACCAAACTGCGGAAGTAGACTTAAGGAGCAGAAATTTCATTTTGGAACCAATGAGTACATACAGTATCACTTCAAACTTCAAGGTAAAATAAACTTTCTTTAAAAAAACAGGAGATAAGATGATATACTGCTCATGACTAAAATTTCTGAACACCTCCATTCACGTCATACATGTGGACATGAACTCCTTCAGGTTGTGTAGCAAAGGATGCTTAAACTCACATGCAAGAAAATCGCTGAACCCTTGTTTCTTGTATATGTATCAGCTTTTAGTATCTGTTGCGATGTGCTTTTGACACCGACTCACAAAAGAGTATGATATCAGGCTTTTATCACTGACCGCAAAAATCTTGATCAATTGTTCTGAAGAGCTTTCTCTACTTCAAGTTGTTCCTCTAGCTGAGTAAGAGTGAGCAGCTAGGTCTTCTGCATTAGTCACTGAAAACTTCAGTTTTTTTTTTTATTACTTTTTTTAGATCCAAGCTCAAGAAGGGCCTGTACCAATACAGGTAAAAGTATTGTGCGGATCATTAACACATCAACCAGGTAAAGAAATTGAGAATATGTGGCACCAGTATAATGGATTTGAGATTTATCTGAATATATGACCTGCCAAGAATTCAGAGTTTAAGCCCGATGCATGTCATGAATGAACAAATGTATACTCACTAAGGTACTCACCGCCCATCTGTTGATATATAATCGAGGCATTCTGCAGAACCTCCCTAGCTTTTCTGTCTGCTGTGCATCCAGCACCTTCCATTTCCTTGTACACTTTTGGAACCTGGTCGTATCTTTTTGCCCTAATGAATGCCTTCATTAAAGTACTGTAGGTAACAACATCCGGACTAATACCCTAAATAAGTAACAGCATTTGTGCATAGAATTGTTAGAAATAACGGAACAGTCAAACACAGCCTCAAAAAAGAAGAAATACGCTGAGATGATCTTACAATCTCCTTAATATGCTCAAAAACAGCTAGCGCCTCCAAATGTCTACCAGCAATGCCAAATGCATTGATCAGCAAATTCAACATTATAAGGTTTGGCTCGATTCCTTCCATTTCCATCAGTCGAAGAACCTTTACAGTTTGTTCACACAGTCCCTAGATAAGATTAACGGGGAAAAAAATCATGTTAATCTGGCGCCTTAAATGAGCAAGTCTGAGAATTTCATGAATCTTGCGCACATGCTTCTGTGCTCTAGTAGATAGGGCTGTGCCTAGATGTGGTTGGGGTTGGTGGTTTTCGCGTGTTCATGTCCATACAAGAACTGGTGGAACAGTGGAGAAGTTCAAAAGTTTGTGCACTTTAAAGTCCTAATATTGAATAAAAATTTAGATTTAAGGTGGCAAATGTCGACAGTTTCAAAATGTTCAACTCATCAACAATGAAATGGAGAACTAGCTTTAAGTTTATATATGTTCTACTAGAAAAACTAATTTCTTATGATATAACGATATCTAGTGATTCCAAGCATCAAAACATACTCTGTCCTCGTGGAAAGGAGTCATCCCCTATCAAAGTCCAGCAATTTTTTTTTAAATAATTCTCTTGTTGCATTGTGCTCAAGTAAATGGAGGTCATACACAAGTTTTCAAATCGGACACAGAGCAACATGAAGCATTGAGAAATTCAAGAATACCTGCTGTGCATAAGCATTTGCAAGTACACAAAAAACGTTAGCTGAGAGCTTCAGACCTTCTGCTTTAAGAGCAGCCACACACTCCTCGGCATCTTGAAACATCCCATATTGCCCATATATATCCACTAGGATTGCATAAATAACTCCGCTTTTTCGAAACCCCCTAAGCTTCATACTCTCAAAAATGCTTTTGATCTCATCCCACTTCCCTTGCTCCCCTAAATGGCTGATGATCGCAATGAAAATCTTCGGGTCAGGATACAACCCCTCTTCCTGCATCCTAGTGAGGAACTCAAGGGCCCTTTCGATATCCCCAGCCTTACAAAATCCCCGAACCAAGGCATTCCATGCCATGATATTCGGCTTCATACCCTCGCTCCGCATATTCTCAAACACCTTAGCTGCATCTTCCATCTGACCGTTCTTCCCCAGCGTGTCGATTATGCTATTATAGATTCTTCTATCGGGTGTAATTCCAAGCTCACTCACCTCCCTCACAAGAGCCAAAGCCTTCTTCCACATGCCATTATCCCTATAAAGCCCAATAATCTTGGAATAGGCCTCGGAATTCATCCGAATCCCCTTCCGCTTCATTTCGCCGATAACCCACCAAGTATCCTCCAGCCTCCCGGCGTGGGCATAAGCATTCAACAGCAGCATGTAAGTTTCTCGATTCCTACCGACACCATCCCCATCCATCTCCGCCAAAACTCTATCCGCGAGCACTAGCTGCCCCTTCCTCAAGAACCCCCTTAAGAGGACATTGTAGTCCCTCAAGCTGGGCCTGAGGCCCAACCACTTCATCTCTCGGAAAAGCCCGTCGGCTTCGAGGGTCCTCCCGAGGCTCCCGAGGGCGCCAATTAGGCAAACGTATGACTGCCCGTTGGGGTGCATGCACGACGACTCCATCTGGGATAAGAGCGCGAGGGACTCGTCGACGAGGCCACTCTGGCAATGGGTTCGGATCAAATTGTTGTATGATTCCCACGAGAGCTCCCGATTTTCTGGCAATTTGGGGATCTTGCCATCAAGACTGGATTTTGAGGACAAAGCAGCATCTGGGTACGCGGCAAAAGCGAGGAATTTGACGGAGGGTTTGTGAGGGGAAAGGACTGGAGGTGGTGGCGAGGAGGGGAGGTGAGCTGAGATGAATAGCGTTCCCATTGTTCATCGTCTGGGCTAAAGAAATGGGTAGTGTTTATATTGTTTCCGCGGTTTTTTTTCTTCTCAAAGTTCCATGTTTGCGAGCTAAAGAAGAATAACAAGAGAGAGAGAGAGAGAGAGAGAGAGAGAGGGAGATGGATATTTTTACACTGGAAGATATTTTCTAAACAAACCCATTCCTATTTTTTTTTCTAAAAATAAACCCTCTTGAGTTTTTTTTTTATAAAAATTTACCTATTTTGTCTTAATCCGGTTTCTAAATAATCGGGGTTGGCAACCCCGACTATTTAGTGCATAGAATGTTAGGGTTTAGGATTATAATTGGGGGTTTACAACCTCCTAAATAGTCGGGGTTGGCAACCCCGACTATTTAGGAACCGGATTAAGATAAAATGAGTCTATTTTTGTAAATAAAACTCAAGGGGGTCTATTTTTAGAAAAAAATATGAATGAGTTTATTTAGAAAATTTCTTAGAGAGATGATGGTTTTCCACTCGTCTCGTACGGGGAAGAGGGAGCTACTTACAGTTACCCCCCTCTGGCTTTACCCAAAGATTTCTTTTTTCCTTTTATTTCTCTTCACAATTTTGTTTTCAAATATACACCCTTATAAGTCATATGTACATGCATTTTAAATTTACACCCTTGTATATTATCATAATAATTGTTATTCTAGCTTTTAATCATAATAATAAATATATCGTATAAGATGGAGTAAATATCAACCAACAAATCATGTCGGAAATTTAGTTTATCGTAAAATGATTATTGATGTCAATCTACTCGAGTTAAACTCGAGCGATATTATCAATATTTTTTTTAAGCCATTACAATGGAAAATATAAGGGATTCAAATGTTTTTTCATCTGCCTGAGAAGGAGAAATTTTTAAATTAAATATGCCAGAGTGCTCAAATAGATAGATAGTCCTATAACAATGGATTCTTAGTCTCGAATGATGGAGACCAATTTGAGCTGACATGATAACCTTAATATCATTTGCACAATAACAAATCTTTTTCAAAAAATATGAGGGGGGTTATTAGTTTCATATTAAACCAACCACCCCCCTTTAATGCAAAGCTCCTACGAGCAAGGGGGAAAAAATGGTCGGGGATGTTTACGAACAAGAAAAGAAACAAAATGGCTGGGGATGGAAAACTCTGGGCTCAGACAGGCAGGCCTCGTTTCAAACGGGATCAGAGAGGAAAGAGCAAAAACAAAGGAGACGAGTCTTTCATCTTCAGGCCATTCTAGGCACAATCGCTCAGAAACAACGCATAATCATACAAATAAAAGCATTCACAGAGAAAAGGATACAAGATCTCAAATATTTTGTTGCCTTCCGCCTCTCTCTCTCTCAAAAAAAAAAAAAAAAAAAAAAAAAAAAAAAAAAAACAAAAAAAAAAAAAAAAAAAAAAAAAAAGAAATGTTGCCTTTCGCAGTTTCTGAGTTCAAAAATACGGAGGAAAGAATATATACTCAATCCTGAACATTGACATACCCACCCGGTCACAGGGATGTACACGGCAAGCTAAATAATCCGATGCCAAGCCTTTATAACTGTTCATTGAGGACACTGCCACAAAATTCCCATCCTCCACCGTGTTATATAACACGCGCCAGTGCACCACGCCAACCGGTTACAAGGTTTCCGCACCCTTTCGCATAATCCATTCAGGTTTTCCCTTGCTGCAAATAGTAAATCAGATAACGTTATTTGATCTTGCAAGTATACGTCCAACTTTTGAATAAAATGCCAGTTAACTTCAGACCATCCTCATATTAGCATCTACCTAGCATTTTTGCTAACTCAAAATAATCAAGTAATTGGCGTCACAGAACCTGGGTACAGATACGCGGAAGATGGACACGACAGAGATGATATAGTAAAATCTGACTATTTAAGACGACATGAGTAGGACAAGAGAAAAGCACATAGCAAGTCGCCAATGCCAAACACAGTGCTTTGGATAAGTTGACAAATATACAACAAGCATAGTTTGATAACATCATCTCTGTCTTACACGAATGACGAGCATCCCCTTCAAATGGATGTCTAGCATTGAAGGCTGTGAAATCTTCCACCCATTTTTTGCTCATTCCAAAACCAAATGCTGATTTTTCCCCTTCCCAACCGCATCTCAGCTTTGAAAAGTAAGTTTTGTGAGAAGTAGCACCACACCCATGTCTGTGCGTGAAAAGTAAGTTTTGTGAGAAATAGCACCACACCCATGTCTGTGCGTGAAGAGCGGCCTCTCATCGTGTATTTGTCAACTTATCCAAAAAAAAAAGAGATGACATAGATACTTTTCTTGGTTTCCATCACGTGTCATTACTTTGGCATCAAAAAGAAGATTTCAAGGTATTTTGGCAACTGGAAAAATGTAAACATCATCCTATAAATCTAACACTACTCATATCAAAAGCAGACAGTAATTAAAGACCAAAACAGTGAGCTTTCCCCCTTCCATCTAATTTGTAATCGGAAATACTTTTATCTACTGACTAAATTGGAAACAGAATCAAGTTTCACAATACTAATAAAAAAAACATCCCAGTGTAGTCTTGGTACCACACATGTGTACGCACCCAACACATTCACGTGCATCATGAAAACTTAATGATAAAAGAGTGGCTAATCAGGAATTTTAACCATCACGTACGACCATAGAAATCATAAACTCAAATAATAAAAACAAAAATTTTCAAGAATCAACAAGTCTAACTGTAAGAAGCAATCGTGTTTAAGGTGTCACAGGCAAAAGATGAAGAGAGAAGCATCCACTACGAAATATTGGCCAAAAGCTACAGGTGAATTTGTTTAGAGCAAACTAAAGTACAGTCAATTCGACAAATTTGGTTCAGAGTTCACTGAATCATAAAATTTATGAAATTATGGTGCTTACTTTTATATGTGCTTTGTAAGAGAAGTGAAGAAGAGGTCCGTGCTTTGTAAGAGAAGTGAATAAGAGAAAAAAGATAGCACATTGCTCCTCGGTTATTTATCAAAAGACAAGTTGCAAAATCTTTCCGAAACATTCCCAAACAGAGCAGTCATGTTTAATTTGTTTTGGGCAATCATGTTTAATTTACCATAGGCAAAAGATGAATAGACTAAGGCAACTAAAAATGGAAAAACAAAGAACACCAGTTGTTCCTTGTCCGTAATTTGTCAATAAAAATGGATTAGGACAAGGAAAAGGATTCGGATCCTCTGGAGGGATCACTACATAATCACAACAATTAATTATCTAGTTGGTGGTTATGATTTTTTCTTTGAGTGCAAATTAGGAATGAGTGCAATACACGGGGCTATGATGAGTGTTAGATTTAGATTGTACCATGACCGCCTACTAAGTAATCAACGATTAAGATTAAAAGTAGTGGTCTCTCCACTATTTTATTGTAGTGGAGAGGATCCAAATCCCAAGGAAAAAGGCCATGTGTAAATACCATTTATAAAATAAGCTCAACAATCTTTACAAGTGTTTCAAATTGAGCTTAACAGCTTTTTGTTTCTCATAGGTTGTTCGGACAACCAAAATTGATTAGGCCTTTGAAACCCAAATGAGAATACATTCATTAGCAAGTGGAAAATGGAAAAAGAAAGTGAGATTAACATTAATTATTCCTTGTTCATTATTCGGCACTAAAATAGATCAGGACAATGATAAAAGACCACGTGTAGGTATAATTAAATGAAGTAACCTCGATAATCTTTACAATAATCTTTACAGGAGTTTTGAAATAAGCTTAATGGTTTTCGTTCCTCCGAGGTTGTTCATACAAAGAAAAACAGAGCAAGCCTTCGACACTCAAAAGACAATACATTCCATTAGCCCACTTACCACAATATTTTTCTTCGGCATCCCACCCTCAGATGGCATGAAACTATTACCTAAATCGACGTCCTAGAATAACCTCTCCTGATCCTTAACAGCTACTAAACCACATGTAAAGATAATATAAATCGGCAGAAGGTTTACCGCTACATGCTCTTGCATTCGACCGATCAATTTTTTCCCCATGAATATTGCTTTAATAAGTGAATTCCTCCAGTTTTATTAGCTGTAAAATCTATTTATCTATGTGTATTAGCTTCATCACAGCTCATATTTTCCAAAGATGCAAACTTTAATGTTTACCACAACTTGCAGCCTTGCATCTGCTTCCAAATCTGGCATAAAATCAACATCTCCCATGCCAAAAAAACCAAAACTAAGACGTACTCCTACCTTCTAAAACAAACATCATGCCAAAAAAAAAACAATCACTAATTACCATTATTCAACCATTTCAGTATCAAGATCTACAAACAGAAGGCTAAAATTAACAGATACGCACAAAAGCAAGGACCTGCTTCCAGTAACAACAAATCAAAGCAGAGAATATCAAAGATTTCACCTTCAAGGTCACAGATCGGCGAATCCCAGAATCATCGCATTCCGACTCCGATTCAGTTGGTGCAAGGCGGGAACCGCATCGATCCGGCGGCGGGTCCGCCCGTTCC